TGACCACTATTTTTTTTTTTTGAGCCGTTAGAATGGCATTACCTCAAAAAAAATTAAACAAAAAAGAAATGAAGAAAAAAAAAGTTCTCTTTTCTAGACGCGAACGCGGCACCTTACGATTACGAAGCTGAATCGTTGTCAACGCGCCCAATGCATATTCTTCGTATATGATGATCCATAGCTGGTGGAAATGCGCAGGACCACCAAAAACAGGCTCATTGGCAATCTCCCTACTCATCTCTGGATAAAGGTTAATACTGGTTCTCATAAAAATAGATTGAACTTTGATCACCATGTAAATAAGTTATGTAAAAATACTTGTTGATTATCTGTTTCATTTTTATAAATATTAGTCTTTCAACTAGCAGAAATTAGGAAATCAATTTTGTGATTTGGCTACAGGTTCGAATTTGTCCAACTATTGCTAGTGATTAAAATCAAAGGTTATTTGGATATTAAAGCGCATACAAAAGTAAAGAAGAGTATAAATGTACAATAATTAATTTGTTAATAATGAATTCAACAGTTTTGAAGATTAGAATGATTGGTGTGGTTACAAAACGTAAAGTATAGTTTTTTTCTTTGCTGAGCATCCTTAATATTTTGATTGATTTATATTTTATTTAAATTACTTTTTAATATATGTTCTAGAATTAAAACAAACTTGTGTAACTACCTATTCCACAGCTGCAATGGAATGCCCCAAATATGAGTCTTTGTGTATTTCAAATCCTAAACCTTTTGTTTATCAAGTACAATTAAATAGACCTAAAAAATTAAATGCGATTAACTATACTATGTGGATGTGCGTATAATCATACATTATTACATATACATAATATAATTATTTAATACATTAACCAGATTAACTCGATTGTAGAGAGTTTGGCAAGTGTTTAAACGATCTTGCTGTTAATCCAGAATGTCGAACTATTATACTATCTGGTAAAGGAAATATCTTCTGTAGTGGCATTGATCTATCTGAACTAATGTCAATTGGACAAAAACTTGCTATGCATGAGGATGTAGCTAGGAAATGTAAAGCATTAGAAGGAACTATAAAGCTCTTCCAGGATTCCATAACATCCATTGAAAAGGTATACATGTTTAAAAGATAATTCGTTTTAGGTACCTAAGATTACATCTGCAATGATGTAATGACGAGTTTGTTATCCCTCATAATAATGTAAATTTCTGAATGAAAACTATTAAGGAAAATACCTATTTCATTGATTTTTTTGAAATTAATCATTTATCAACAGTGCCCAAAACCAGTAATTGCAGCTGTTCATGGTGCTTGTATTGGAGCAGGTGTAGATATGATTTCAGCAGCAGACATAAGATATTGTTCTTCAGATGCTTATTTTCAAATAAAGGAAGTGGACATAGGGTTGGCAGCTGATATGGGAACTCTCCAAAGATTTCCAAAAATAGTGGGCTCTGATAGCCTGGCACGCGAGCTAGCTTATACTTCTAGGAAGTTCCTGGCTACTGAGGCACTACAATGTGGCTTTGTGAGCCGCGTTTTTGAGAATGAAAAAATGTGAGTATTATCTTAAAATTTGTGCGTGTAGCATCTAACTTGTCCTTCGTATTAGCTTGTTGGAAACGTCCATAAAGATTGCTGAAGACATTGCCAGTAAAAGCCCTGTAGCAGTTCAGAGTACAAAATTGAGTTTGATTTATTCAAGAGATCATTCAGTACAGGAGGGTCTAGACCATATAGTGAGTATTTGTTCTTATTTTACTATATTTGAGTTCATAACTTTGTATTATTCCACCTGCAATTAGAAAATATTAGTTACTGATTAATTAATTGAATACACCATAAAAGCAGATAATTAACAATTCATAATTCTCTACTATAATTTACTTCTGACAGGCCATGCGTAATCAAACTATGCTCCAGAGCGAAGATTTAGTGAATGCAGCAATGGCACAGGTAACCAAAGGAGATCGTCCAATATTTTCAAAATTGTAAGAAATAATTAGGTTAATATTAACACCTTCATGGTTATGTTAATATAACGTTATAGGATAACCTACCGTTCTTGACCACATCAAATATTGTATACTTTTTATATCAAATTATGTATATATACTGAATAAAATGCCTTCCGTGAATCCATGTTTCAAAATGTATAGTCTCAAGTAAAGCAATTGATAGTTTCTAAATAGGTAAACCTTGTCTTCATTATACTATGATATCTAACTAATGTCAGCATGGGAACCAATTGAGTCAAGAAGTTTCCGTTTTTTGGGCTTAACCGATAATCTGGCTGCTTCTATCTTGTCGACAATGTCGTAAACGTTTAAATCTTCTGGGAATTTTACCTATGTACAATGCTAAGTAGCAAGTATTCTAATATCTTCTTGATTAATTGATAATAATCAACAATACTCACAATAAGCAGATTAATATAATGCTCGTAATCAACTTTGTTTGTCTCGGTATCGCAAGCTATTGCCATCATTTCGGCCACTTCTTCCTTGTTGAATGGTTCACCAAGTTCCATCATGGCTTTTTCAAGATCTTCACGCATAATGTAACCACGATTGTCTGGGTCCAGCAATTGAAAAGCCTTGAGAAGTTCCTCGGGATCGGCTGGTCTAAATCTGAAATCGAACAATTATTGATATTGTAGAGTAAAAATTTGAATTTGCGAGGAAAATGAAAACTGAAAAATATCACTAATATAATTTACATACTTTCTCTCACTAATGACCTTGCACATATATTCTACAAATCGTGCTTGTTGTACACAGTTATTTTCAACATCTTCAACTTCCACTTGAATCTCTTGTAATTCCGTTTCAGTAATTACGCAACCTTAATTGCGTGAATAAATAAATGCACTAATTACAAACATAATAAATAATATACATCATTTTTAAATTTGCATTCCACTTTGATTCATTTAAACTTTTAAGCAAGTATAAATTAAAGAAAATGTGTTATAATAAATAAAAATGGTATTGGTGCTATCAAATTAAATACTGTTGATTATTAAAAAAAAATTAATTATACCCAACGATCTTATTATTGTTCCTAATTCTCGAACATCTATTTCACGGCTTCTAGCATTGTCAAAAACGTCAAAGGCTTCTGTAACTCGTTTCTCCAATAAAGAAGGCTCCAGAGACACTACAATTATATTATGAACAGCAAGGTAATTGATATCATTATTAATTACGTACTACAAATTATGTATAAAGAGTATTGAATAATTCACACACTATTTTCTGTTTATTTTACCACCACGAACGGAGTTTTTAAAAACACTATATGGAGTTTTTATAAGGTGCTCAACAAACCTTTCTCACATTTTATTTATCGATTAAATAGTTTTATCAATATTGCAAAGAATGCATATTAAATCAATATTAGAATAACTCTTCATGTACCTTTAGACTCGCGATTAGAAGCGGAGAAACGTTTCTCAAAAAAGTTTCGGCGGCTTAATCGTGATCCCACGGAACTGGTTCGCGACCTTAATCTGGAGACACTCATTCTTCTGAATATTATACTACAAATATTGTAGAAAATAAAATTTTGTCCTGAGAATATTAAAATCCTTAACCGAGGAAACAGATTTTAAGAGAATTTGACGTTTCTGAGCCGAATAAAATGGAAATGCATCAATTACGCGAAGTACACTCCCAATATTATTATGTATTTGTTTGCACTACAAATGAAAAGAAAAGATGTTTAATAATAATATTATATTGATATGATATTAAGTATTCCTTGCAGATATTAATATTAATATAAAATAACAATTATAGGAAATAATTTATTTGATCTTTTCTATAAAATAATAATTGATGCTTTAGATTTTAATTATTACTTGAATGACGTTGATCCTTCTGTAATAATATTTTATCCTTTTGAAGCATATATTTTTCCTTACGTATAAATTATTTTAAATTTTATACTAGGAGGTTTCTGGGGTTGCTGATTACGAATCTGAACTGAAAATTAAGAAATTCAAAATGACAAATTCAATATGGCGGACTGAATTGATAAGGGTGCCGTCCCATGCATAGAAAATAGAACAAGACACAGAGAAACAGAATAAGGTTATCGTGAGAGTTGATCTATTAGGATTGTTCCGCTAAAAAATTCTAATATCCTGGGCCCCGGCACTTGGCTCTCTCAGAGTATAAAGCCAATAATATCAAGAGGAAGAAGATATCTTGGGTTTCCCATGGAGCGTATTCTACGCAAAACAGAGCAAAATTCTAATCTTAATTTTTATATAAATTTGATATCTTTACTAAAATATAATTAAAAATTATATAAATCAGTAGAATTTTAAGTTATTTTCTACAATAATAGTTATCTTAAGTCATGTTAATTAATAGGAATGAGCTTCCCATAAGGTTAGAATTTTGTTTCGTTTTCCGTAAAATATGCTCTATTGGGAATCGAGGACACCTAGGGTATTAAATTTTTTAATAGAGCGATGCTAAATGGTCAGCCTCCACCACATCGTTTGTTATTTCGGTTCTGTTTGTTTTTGTTTTGTTTTCCATGTCTGGGGGATGGCACCTTAAAAAAAGGAAGCTGATTTGAATGAAAGTTTGTGTTCAGGGGTTTTTGAGGTAACCGATTATGAATCTAAACTCAACTCAATTGTGTATTTGAAAATTTCAAATTTAAATTTGTAATCGCGACCCCAAAAACCCCCACGTATCGAGATTCATCCAAATAAAGTAACTTTTTGTATTTTGGTCTACCATTTTGAATTTTGAATTCTGAGTCGATCAGGGACCTCGAAAGTCCCAAAGTATTAAGTTTGAAGTAAATTATATATAAAAACATATGTATGTTTCAAAGGATTATTAGATTTTACGCAAATAAAAAATTGTCAATATTTAAGCTTACATAAAAACTCAGCCATTGTGAATTTCGAAAATCTGACGTCAAATTCGGTTTCAGCGGACTCTAAATCATTAAGAAGCCAAATTGAATGATTAACTACTTTGGTTTTCCAATTTGAATAAGTGTATCCGTTCAGTTATACCGCGCTTCAAAACGTGATATGATACAAAAATATTTCCATTACATTACTTCTATAGCTAATGGAACTTTTCTTCGTGGTTTGGTGTCTTTAAAATTATACCCGTATCATCACAAATATATACTGACGGTTTATTGGAATTTTTCATTATCCACTTTTTCGGGTTTTATATAAAAAATGTACAATTTATCTCAATTCTATATTTAGTCTCTTTTTTCATGTTTCTTCGTCCTTATTTAAAAATGTGCAGTTTGTCGATCAATGTCGGTGATATCCTCGATTATTTCTTGTACTCGTGTACCAATTTTTTTAGCCACTTCGATTTTTTCATTATGGGGCAACTGAAGATAGCACCAAACTAAATCGCCATCAATAATTCCTCTAGCTGGATTACCCTGCATTCTCACGTAACTCTTATACGTTCTAAAACAATACATATCAAATGGCTTAATTGCACATGACTTTGTTCATTATTATTAACAACAATAACATACCTGTAAGCCTTTGGATTCAGACCAGCCGTATGGCAAATATGAGTAACCAAAACATTTTGTAGCATAAGCAGTCTTCGATAAGTTTTTTCCGGAACAGGTAATACGTAACCAAGACTACCGTCCAGCGTAGCTAATAAAAAAAAAGAATTGATGATCGTTTTTATAAATGGTTAGGTATTACTGTTACTCTTTAGTGTACAATTGCACAGGTTCTTATGATTCATCTTATTATTACTTACCATACATCGTAACATGCCTCCGGTCAGCGCCACAAAAATGTTTCCTGTCATTTGCGGGATCGGCTAATTTACATTTTATACGGAAAAACGTATTGACCTTCTGACCCAAGTGAAAATCAGCCTTTCGTATTAGTTTCTGACCACCCAGACTTTCACGCGACTCCGGTTGATACATGAATAGCGCAATATTACTTTCTCCATCGGCGACCAAAAATCCAAGATTATTATTGTCTATTAGATATTCTATCGTATATACCTCAGATGGTCTGAAGTCCTGAGAAAAAATCAAACAATCTATGAATATGATAATGTTGTACATCTCACTTGCAAATGGGAGTTATGATATTCTCATCGTATTAGAAGATAATAGATCTGTGTAAATTTTGACCCCCCCACCCCTCTCACTGGATTTCCTATTTTTGAGATTCCCTAAAACCGAGAAAATTTGTGGGTTCCAAAGGAGGAGTCAAGTTTGTTAGCGAGCAATATGCGACTAAAATTCAAAAAGGTAAAACATTTTCAAAATTCTGAAAATCATCTTAAGTTTTAAATCATGGTTCTTGAGTCTCTAAAAATTAATTGACGTTTCTTGCTAGTCCTTATAAAGCTCTAAAAATTATCTTAATAACATTTTTCGATCAATCAAAAATGTACAGTCACAGCATATACAGAAATTAAATAAATATACAGAAAAGGTAAACATTTGATAAAATTTCAATGAGTGCTTTGGAAATAATTAATATTGAGCGCTAAGCGCGGGTGTTGCGATGACAATGGATTTTTGAAAATCGAAGTAATTTTTAAAAATTACATTCACATTTACGTAGTTCCAAGATTTACTTTACGCATAGTACTCAATCGTGTGGATAAACTTTATCGTATGTGATGCGCAAAATTCATATACATATATCGGAGTATGAAACATAAAGCACATAACAATGTGCCCATGCACTCAAAGGGGACTTGACGGGTTATTTCCTCCCCATTTTGATGTATTTGCTATTACAAAAAGGATGCATACATATGTATACTGTGTCAATTTTTGTAAAAAAATTCTAGGCACACTGCTAAATTGAACAAAGTGAATATTATAGGAAATTTCTTCTAGGAAATTTCATTTCTAGTTTGAAAACCGTCCATATTGCGATATCCCAATTTGATTCACGCGGTTGTAACTTATACGAAACTCGTCTGCTGAAATATTTCATTACATACCCTGCTCACGAGTGATAAGGTTCTATACTCTTCCTGAAACCGTAATAAACTTATTGACTTGTAAACATCAGCAACCAGAATGAGACTTTTGATACTCAGCATTTGATGAATGTAAATTTGAGTATCTATAAATGCCACTCCAACAAGGTCGTTATCCTTTAATTGCCAGATGTATATCTGTGAATAAACAAAGAATATGTAACAAATTATTTGTGGCTTCAAATTAACTTAATTTTTTGCTTCTCTTGCTCTTTTTCCCCTTTCTAGTGTATACAACCAATTCTGTTTTTGTTTAGTTAATTTTAATTTTCCATTTAGCAAAGTGTTTTGTGATGAGTTCGATGTGTTTTTGGACAATAGTTTATGCTACCTTTTTGCTCCACGAGCTAGAGTAGACTGCGGTGTCGTCCGCGAATAGTGCTATTTGTGTTTTGAGTGTTTTGCTTCCTCATAGAGGAAGCTATGTTTTCATGAAAAATTTTGTTTTCGAGATTTTCATGTTAGAATACTTAACATGGTCTAAAACGTCAAGAAAAGTAGTTTAGAAAAAATGTCCGTATGTATGCGCGCGTGTGTGTGTGTAGGGCTTGGAAAATTCCATTGCCTCTTACTCAGTAACCGTTAGAACGATCGGACTGAAATTTGGCACGCAAGTAAAGTAGATATCCCTCTTTAAATGTTGCGATTTTTAATGAAATATATGCAGCCATTCAGATTTTGTCATTTAAAATTTTTTGAAAAAAGGGCGTGGTCGCTCTAACTTTCGTAAAGGTTCGACGATTTAGCTAAATAGTTCTTCATAACTGAAGATACGTTCAATGTTGTTTGGTATTGAATTTCGACAAGATCGCTAAAGCGGTTCAGATTTTACGTGGTTTTGAAATTTTCAAAAAATTATCGTTATTGTTTTGTTCTTTTTTACCTCATTTTTAATTTTTTATTCCTGTAAGTACCAAAGTTCAATTGTACATAACTCGCGAAAATAAATCAAAGAACTTCCTCATAGTTAAGGCTTTGTGAACGAAGGAAAAAATCAAGAAGCAAAGTGTAAGATTCTACTTTGCACCCTTTTTAATATTAGAATGTTACTACCTTTTGACCTACAGCGGATACCAAAAATCCAGAGACTTGAGTGATAGCTGTGATAGGACCTTTTTGCTCCTTAGCGTAAATTTGCTTGAATCTATTCTTAGTCAATGGTTGCCCCGGTTCTGGTACCACCTCGATGATATCGAAGATCAAGATTCGTCCGCGACTGGTGATATCTTCACCATAGTTGTAATTGGTGCCCAGGACTATGTACCCTTTAAGACCTGACCTGGTGCCCTCATATGCCAGAGACACATTTTTCAAGCAGGTTACATGTTCCCATTGGTCAAGTTCTATTTTTGTATTTGGTATAGTTTCCCAGGAAACTGGTGAAAAAAGAACTATACTAAACTGTTCTTGGAATGGATACAAAAATCTTTCGGAACGTTCCTCTTCTGTATACTCTTTATCTTCCCCATTGAACCGGTAATAACTTTTTAAAGGTTCTGCTGTGCTCGTTATAACGCAATATGTTTTACTTTCGACGTGATAAGTGACAAAATGTGGTGTACACCGTAATGGCACTTTTCTTACTGGCCATGGGGCATCATACGATAAATGTGTAGGCAGGACACAGATCCGCAACTCCTCCTACATGGTGGAATGCATATTATATACATATTCTAAGATATACCTCTAGAATAAGTTTAAATAATTTTACTACTTATTTTCAGAATATTAATTAAACCTATACTAGGTTATACTGGGAGTTATCAGTTACTAACATTCATGGATCATTTCGACATTATACGCGGTGTAATGCAATTAAGGCTGCTCGTCAGTCAGTTGTAAATGATAAAAACATAATAATCCAATTGATAACGTAACTACCTAATAACATTAAAAAAGAGAAAAGATACACCGTTAGTGTGCTTTATTTGTTACATTTGGTCACAACCTTACTGTTCCCTCAATTTCCCATCAAATAACGAAATTGAATTGGCTCAATTTAGGCTTTAGAAATGTATCCATGTTTAATATCCTATTCACAGAAAATCGCGTAATTTATGACCTGCAGAACGATTCGAATTAGGATATTTTGTATCTATTGTAGATAGATTAGATATAGGATATTGTTAGATATAGAGTTAAGTGCCCTTTTAAGGGCCTACTTTCTTCCGGATTAGAATATGAAAAAGTCCCCTAAATATGAAACCTCTCTCCCGGTCAGACTGTAAAGAAAGTTTACCCATTTTATATCAAATCAAAAATGAGGACATCTTCACAAAATAATAGAAGACATAAAAGAATTTTTTTTCGATTCACCGACAGCCTTGTACGATTACAATTCACGTTATAACTAAGTACTCGAAGTTTTTAATAATTTCAATAGGGCATTTATAATAAAAACAATTTCGCAATATTAAGAGAACTGTATTACCTTTCTGTTGAAGTACAAAAATCCTTGAGGACAATTAACGTTATTGAATGGTGCAAATGAAGTTATAGCTCCATCAATTCCCATCGGGTGAGATCGTAACTCTCCGCGTCCAGTTAAAAATATCCAGTGTGGATATCCACCACAAATAAAGACACCATTATATCCAGCTATATTGCTAAAATAGCGCATCATGCAAACTCGTGTGTCGTTCATACGTGGTTCATTTTCCTCCTTGGGCTTAGGTCTGTGAATATATAACACTGATAAACACTAATAAAATATGAGGAACTTTGTTTCATATTTAGATCTTTCATTTCCGCTCAAAGCTATTTAGGATACACTACAAGTAGTTACAATAAATTAAAAATGAGTCTTGACTTTAGCTTAAAAATATGTATACTAACCGATTACAATTTCCAGAAAATTATAATTACCAAAATTTTAAAATTATTAATCATCGATTGATTTACCTCAACTGACCCAAGATGATTGAATGATCAAATTTCTTGAATCGCAACTTCAAGTGTCCCTTTGGATAGCGGTATGCCTGATAAATTTGCACTTCCGTATCTAAACGCACTAATAACATTGGTTTATTTCCATGATGACCAAGTGCGACCATTAAAATTTCACGAACCTATAAACGACAAGAACCAAATATCACTAAAGTATTAATTTATCATTAATTATGTATATTCCTGATTAATTCTTTTAAATGGACCTGAACTTCCGAATTTGGTATTTCGTTAATATGTGACTGCTGCAGTGTCGTCGACTCCATGCTGTCGTGTAAAACGTGTTGGCCATAACCAAAATTGCGTATCAAATAGGATAATCTTAAATCCGGCAATGAGTAAATCTCCAAAGTTCCGCTATCCCTGTATACTAGCAGCCAGTAGGTCGGTTTGAATTCCTGCAGATGCTTTTGCCACCTAAAATCAAGATAAACCTACTCGTGCCTTTCCAAAAAAAACTAATGGGTGATGGCTGTGTCTCAATTAAATACATATAAGTAAGTAAATCACAACGTTCCATTCATGCTGGTAGATCATTTTGAAACGTAGCCTTTTACGGCTATTCGGTCAGGAAAAACAGAAACATAGTGTTTTTCTATTAAGGAGGTACGACTATTAAAACAAGTGCAACTAATCAATTTTGTTATGTTCTTGGCAGGCACATAATCTTTGTGCGTGCAGAGTTTCAGAAAGATCGATCGTCTCGTTTCTGATATACGCAATGAAAACAATCTAAGTGGCACAAATGAGATACACTTGTGGTTTTAAATTGACGTTACCGATTTGGGCTTCAGAACCAATGAAATTCATTAATATTTTATATGTCAATTATTTCACATTAAAAATGACTACCACAGTTTTTTTTAATAGACAGCTGGAACTATTTTTTCAACTTTTTACAACTATATTTAAACAATATGGAGTTTGAAAATTAAAAATTTATACATCTCTGATCTTCGGCTTAATTTAATGATGATACTTTATGTAGCAAATATTTTTCAGAGTGGTATTACACTGTTTATTCGCGAAAGGAGGAAACTACTATACATATACATATACAGGGTGCGGCGTTTATTCTGGCCACCTGGAATATCTCAGAAACTAAAGTCCAGAGAAAAAAATGTTTCAAATAAAAAGTTTAAGGTAAGAAGGGGCTGATCCAACAGTTATATCCATTTTAAATTTGTATCATGTTTTCAAGGTCATTCCAAGGTCAACTTTGGTTTTTTAAATGGGAACATGTATTTTTCATTACAGATTCTTAATCTACGACTTAAAACAAGTAACTTTTGTTTGAAACGATTTTTTCTCCAGCGATTATTTTGTACAAAACGACTTTATTAGTGAAAAATAGAAACACACCTCAAGTACAAGGAAATCAATTTAATAAGTGTTCAAAATGTTGGCCTTGTTCTTAAATACATTTCTCAAGAAGAATGATGAATGAGTTGTTGCATCACAAAAGAATGTCTGCCGGAACGTTATGCCAGGCATGACGAATACGATCTTTCATATTTTTTCATGTCGTTAGTCCCTTTTGGTAAAATTTTTCTTTACGGTAACCCCATAAGAAAAAATCCATACTAATAAATCCACCATTGATGCCATTCATGCCACTTTGAACACTTATTAAATTGATTTTCTTGTACTTGAGGTGTGTTTCTATTTTTCCCTAATGAAGTCGTTATTTTGTACAAAATAATCGCCGGAGAAAAAAACGTTTCAAATAGAAGTTACTTGTTTTAAGTCGTAGATTAAGAACCTGTAATGAAAAATACATTTTCCCATTTAAAAAACCAAAGTTGACCTTGGAATGACCTTGAAAACATGATACAAATTTAAAATGGATATAACTGTTGGATCAGCCCCTCCTTACCTTAAACTTTTTATTTGAAACATTTTTTTCTCCGGGCTTTAGTTTCTGAGATATTCCAGGTGGCCAGGATAAACGCCGCACCCTGTATATGTATAGGAAACAGTCGTACAGTGCAGTCTTCCTTATCACGTTGATCGTCACCTTGCTATATGTCCATAGGTATTTGTCGCGACTTGCGAACTTGAGTCCCGGAGGACACATAGTTAATTTACGCTGAATGATCAACGTTTTAAATGATAAATCAGAAAGTAACAATATTTTAGAAGTACATTGAAACAGAAATCGAGGAGTACAACAGAGCATGTTTGTCTTGTTTTTGACGGTATTATACTATGTACAGTTTGTAAAAGAGTATATTTGCATAGGATAGAATGATTTGATTATCAGCCATAATTATTGAAATTCCTAAAATGCTTTTGGCATCGCAATTCTCCGCCCTTTGCAATGAACGCAAATTATCATTGTTAGACAATTATTATATAGAATGGTAAGATGGCGAATATTAGTTGACATATTTTTTCCTATCAGAACCACATACCAGGGTGCTTTCTTGTTGTTACCATCTTGAGCCTTTACTTGAGGTGGCGCTGGCATTTGAAAAGCTGGAACATCACCGTATAGAAGCTCATCTTCATCGTCTATGTTCGTTATTGTAGTTGGCTCTTCAACAACTTTCTCTTCCTCAGCGTTATCATCTTCGACGTCCTCAGCAAGGTGCATAGTGAAAATTCCACTAACATCACGATAAGCACATAACGTCTCTATTTGCGGCCTCTGAAAAGTAATTATGATTGTCGTAAGTATGATACGTCGTTAATGCAACATAAATCATTAAGAAACAATGTTCTGTTTCTTAATTAATCTAGTAATAATCTTACTTACAAACAGTAAATTTGCCGGTTGAATGTATAATTTAGCTGAGCCTCGGATTTCCCTAAAGGTCAATAACATGACTTGCCCATCCTCGGTTAATATAGTAACATAAGGGTCTGCACAACTTGCATGAATAATAGGACAGCCAAGATCAATGGGTATGTGTTGTATCTGTAAAGAAGTGATATCAAAAATATAGAAGCACTGTGTAGGTAAAGTGGCTACTCAAATCTTCAATCATAAAGAATATAGTTGACATGGGTTTGGTTGGTATCCAATCTATTGATAGAGTATAGATCATTTAAAGATCATCTTCATAACAATGCACACAAAATTTGGAATTTATTATTTATTCTAAATATAATAAAAAAGTGTTCACTTTATATCAACATGTTGCTGTCAGATTTTTTCTTGACTTTCGAATTCATTATTTTCGATTAATCTTAATGAAAATGTTTACATGATTCTTAACCCATTAATGTTCAAGTAAAAACGCAGCCATTTGGAAATTCCGGACTCGGGAGATTACAAATTTTTTAAAAAAATACAATAAAATATGATGTATTTTTTGTCGCCGTTAGCGGGAGGGAGACGAAAATAAAAAAGCTTTTTTTTCTTAAAGAAAGATCACGCCATTCGATTCTATGGAAAAATTATTAAAGAAAAACATAAAATTACTAGTTTGTCATTACAATCACATGAAGTAAATTATTTAATGAAATAAAAAGATCGCCGCTCGCGCCCAACTTATCGCACGCTCCATCACTGATCGCCAGCGCCCATCGTTTTCATTTTATTAAATAATTTATTTAATTTCATTGTAATTACAATGCTATGTTTCTTTAGTAAGTTTTCCGTGGAATCGAACGGCGTAATCTGTTTCTTAAAAGAGAGCTCTATTTTTCACTTTGCCCCCCCCTCCCCCCTCTACCCTCATCACCAACAAATATTTGAGAATCATATTTTATCATATTTAAATAGAAAACCCGGAATCTCCCTGGTCCGGGATTTTAAAGTTGCCCCCGTTTTTACGTGGGCGTCAAAAACTTACGTGGTCAATATATGTCAGCTAGTGCACTGAGGTAAATATGTATATCTTTCAAATTCATATTATAATTTGCATAGTCCCCTTAGGTGTTACCACTCAGTTGTAAATTGAAAAATTCATTTTCAAGATGTATTTAATAAATACCTGATCAATTCCTTGCATTAATCGTACTCCCATTTGTGTAACTTGAATGATGTAACGATTAGCGCCAAGATTTCCGGCGAATATCGTGGTACCTTGTGTACTAAAACCACTTTGATCAACTTCATTGATCTCTTGTCCAGTTTGCAAAATCTACAAAGTATTGATCAATTAGCAAATAGATGAATAATAAATTTAAGATTGTAAGAATATATGTATTGAGAATTATGTAGAAGAATCTTAGTATAATACTAAATATAGTAACAGGTTTTTCTTAAACCACAAATTCATAAATCACGCGGTCAGAACAATTGCATTAATAAAAGAATGATATCGCAGATACTCTGTTATTGAAACTGAACGTGTTGAACGTCTTTAAATAACTTCCACGTCCGAAACTTGATCCTTCTTATCATTTTGAATCTCAAAAGCTCAGCAGTTCGTTCGAACTTTATTTCACAAAAAATGTCGTTTTAATAAATATTATGAATTGTGAATGCATTAAACAATTCCACATATTCCATGGTATTGAGTTTAATTAGCTTTGCATTACCATTGTAGAATCTTCATGACTTAAAATTAAAAACGCGTGGGTCCCTTCAGCTTCAGCTTTGACTTGTTCTTCAGTATTTACAGCACCAATCACAGTCCACATGTCCTCGCAACCAGGCAATTCAAATGTTGTTACTACCTGTAAAGGAATAATACATAAATGAGCATGTCTTTCGTGACTCCACATTGAGCAGCAGATGACTTTGTAAAGTGTAATTGATGTTGTAGTTCGATTATATCTACAGTGAATCATAAAAGTGAATTATTCATTTAGTCACCAGCACCAGCACCAGAAGAGATGAGACAACGAATTACTGCAGCATGTGCTAGAATAGGTGTCGATACGATAAGATGTGCACGTGGATTCAGCGATACAAAAATTGCAGCTTTGCATTGGCGCAAATGGTCGACACTTTGAACATCTGATGTAATGCAAGTTTATTTTACTACTATATTTGAACTTAAATGATATTAATAGTAGCTTGCTGAAATCGCCTCAACACTGATTATCACATAGCGACGAAAAAAACGTAGCACCTATTTATAAAAATGAAAATGACCTTGAAAACTCGTTTACGCCCCCACCCTCGCAAAAAATAATAACATCACATTATGTCCCCCTCCATACCGTACAAATTTTGTATGAAATATTTTTTAAAATTATTACAAATAACAGAAATATTCCAGGTGGACAAATTTATTGATCCACCCTGTATTATAATTTATTAAAAGGCATTAATACTTTGTTGCTCCACCTTTGAACTGTAAAACAGTGGATAACAGATTTACCATACTTTGGATCAACTATAATACTCGTATATTATTCCAAATATTTATAATTTGTTGTTTGAGATATTCTATTGTCCTTTTGGAACATTTCGAAAGCCAGCCTAATTCGCATGACATATTGGCATTTAAATAATATAACTGATTTTTTTTTACGCTTCTGAAGGTGGTTCGATCACTCAAGCACTTCCAAAATACGGATCTAAATTTGATATATGTTCTTGGCAGGTGCTTAGCGGTTATGCGTGCAAAATTTCAAAATTATTTACCGTCTAGTTTATGAGGTGTAAAGAATGAAAATAGCTAGAAATTCACAATATATGTATATATGTATGTATATTATACTTCGATTGGTAAAATAACAAAATTTTTTTAGATATCTCAACTTACAGACAATAAGAGTGGATGAAAATTCTAGGAGATACTTCTTTTATATTAAATATTATCGCGGCGATTTTTAAATTGATAATCTTGAAATGTTTTAATCATTATTTAAACAATATGTGATATGCACATTTTTAAAATGATAGATCTCTATCCTTCCGCATGTCTCAAAGATAATACCTTACGTAAGAAATATTTTTGTAATGAATGATATACAGTGAGTAACTTGCAACAGTTGTTGAATAATACGGTTTAAATAAAACAGTATCTGATTTCCACGTTACTTTAATATTCGGACGCTCTCAGATACTACATATGCACATACTTATTTTTCGGCTGGTTTTTGTTACAATACTTGTTCTAATATTTCGTTGGGTAGCCATCCTGCTTTATCACTTCTTGCAAACACTGCTACATATTATTAATAATTTTTTTTTAAATATTCAGTACTCAAACTCTTCCATTCTTCTTTTAAACGATTGTTTTAACATTTCTCTGAAAGATATTGGTGTTTTTCGAATTCGGCACTCTAGTTCATCCCACACATTTTCAATGGGGTTAAGGTCAGGTGATTGAGGTGGTAGTTGCAAAACTTTTGGGCAATTGTACAGCAAATATTCCTGCACAATGCGTGCCTTATGTTTCGGGTCATTATCCTGGTAGAACTTGAACGTATTTAAAATCCCCATTTTTGTAGCACTTCTGTGTAAATTTTTTTTTCAATATGTTCATGTAAAATATTTTGTCCATAATCTTTTCGATGAAAACTAATTCGCCCGGTCCGAAAGTCGAAATACAGCCCCAGACCATCACACTGCCACCTCCGTGCTTTACGCTCGGCCAAAGATTTTTAAATTTAAACTTTTCCTTTTTTTTCCGCCACACCATCCTTCGTCCATCTGACCCAAAAATATTAAATTTACTTTCGTCAGAAAAGATGACATCATTCCACCATGTTTCATCCTTCAAAATAAATTCTTTGGCATAATTCAGTCTCTTCTTTCGATTCTTTTCACTCACGTACGGTTTCTTTCTAGCCACTCTTCTATCGTAGAAGCTATTTTTTAAGGCTCTGCGGATCGTTTGAGGATGCACGTTTTTTCCAGTCTCGTTTAACAGCTCTGATACTAGTTTTGGGGCACTGAGCGTAAGGGTCCTTGTTTATTTTTCTTAGCAATTTTCTCTCATCGCGAACGTCTAGTTTCTTCGGTTGGCCTTTTTGGGGTATAAAATCTATACGATCCTCGCACGTCTAGTTTCTTCGGTTGGTTTCTTAGCAATTTTCTCTCATCGCGAACGTCTAGTTTCTTCGGTTGGCCTTTTTGGGGTATAAAATCTATACGATCCTCGCATTTGAACCGCTTGACTATATCTCCCACTGTACTCTTGCTTATGTTTAGCAGAGCAGCAATTTCTCTGTACGATTTTCCTTTGGCATTATGATATATTACAAATTGCCGTATATCAAAACTCGTGTTCGCTTTGTGAGGGATTGTACAAGTGTATTGCACGATGATCGACAAATAACTAATAAAATAAGGCTTAAACTAGAACGCTTGACTAGATTTGTAAATAAACATTGTCCTCTATTTTGGCGTAACTCGGCTTGAACATTGGAAAAAGCGCTACATTGTAAAGTGTCCGAATATTAAAGTAACGTGAAAATCGGACAATGTTTTATTTAAACCGTATTATTGAACAACTATTGTATGTTATGTAAACAAAACTTACGCTATTGTTTATTAAGCGTATACGTCATCATAATCCTTAATCATTTTTTTTTTGGTTAGAAATTAAGTTATAACGTAATTTAGTAAAAATCTCAGTGTCCGAATATTAAAGTAACGTGAAAATCGGACAATGTTTTATTTAAACCGTATTATTGAACAACTATTGTATGTTATGTAAACAAAACTTACGCTATTGTTTATTAAGCGTATACGTCATCATAATCCTTAATCATTTTTTTTTTGGTTAGAAATTAAGTTATAACGTAATTTAGTAAAAATCTCAGTGTCCGAATATTAAAGTTACTCACTGTACATGGAATTCACAGAAATTGGAATCCTATTATTATGATGTTAGGCGAACCACCTTAAATTTTCAACTTCCAAAGCAGCTGTAGCAGTTCTTTTATATTTATATTGGAGTTTGTTTTCTAGCGACATTTTTTTTTTCACATAGTATTTCTAGATATTTAACGTATCACATGCGCGAAAATATTTTCATTTGCGTTAATGCACCGTTTTAGCCTTTCTTAAAATTGCTGAATAGTAGAAAGCAGCACATTGCTAGACGTATGGCGACAAGCACGAATTATGCGTTTCCTCATATCTTCTATTGTAGTTGGCTCTTGCACAAAAACAATATTCTTTAGAAATCCTCATAAATAAAAATGCGGCGCTATTAAATCGGAATAAACGTTAAACCAAAAGAAATCGAATGTTATTTTAAAAAATCAATTATTAAATTTTCTCGGTAGTAGAGTTGCCTATAAATACACTTATAGTTTCATTCTTTTCTCCCTCGAATTCATATAATTTTTGTTTGAAATACTTTTTATATCTCGTTTCATCTCCGAGAAATGTTAGTGTATCACTTAAAATGGGATACCCAGTACAAGTCTGAATTTTAGAACCTCTCTATTAGTCCAAAGAGGGGCTGGCATGCCCGTCAGCTAATCGGAGAATATACGTTAGGAATGTAGTATGTACAAAAGAAAAGGACTCTACTGAATAAATGTTCTACTGGCTATAATTCCTAACCTTTGTATGGATTCGAATGCCAACGGGCCGCAATTTACAATAGATGTCCCTGTATATGCGAATTTATTAGAAGAAACTAGGTAGTGCTTGTGACCTAAACGGAAGGCTGACCTCAGACTATAGCAGAGATTTAACAATTAGACAAGGGATTAATAGAGTAGTAGTCTTACTGTAACTATCAATCAAATTTCTTTTATACGTATACATTCTACATGCGCGCCCTACTCATTTATAGATTCTACACGTATCATGACAAATCGTATAAGAAACAATTGTGTTTTATAGAACTGAAATCTGCTATGCAATATAATGCATATAAAAATTTCTAAAATTACCTGAGGTCGAATAGAACGTTGCAATACACATAGAGCTCCATTTTTCCCATAGCCTGAAGTAGTGACCAGTTCAACATCAGGATCTTGGGCGTGAGAAAATTCTTCTGAGAGAAATGCTGGTTCTCCCATAGATATATTACCACAGGGTCCAATATTGAGCAGACTATCGCAAACCTATATAATATATTGTATTCAATTATTTAAAATTAAAACACGTAAAATCTATGGTTTGTTAACTTCAAGAGAGGGCACAGTTTAATTACTACTATCACTAAAAGAATCTTCAAATTACGGATTTTGCAATCATCAAAACGAAATAAATGATCCATATAAAAAATGTATATTTCGCAAATAACTCATTATACCTCGAATATGTATGATGTAATATGCATAGACGTTTGTGTTTCGTTGCCGTACACTTCAAGTTCCTCTGGATCCTTGATATCAAGGACATCAGACGCCATCCAATCTCCCAAAAAGTCTTGCTTGACTTTCTTAGCTGGAGTTTCTCCACTGTCCTCATCGTCATCAACAGTGACTTCAGCGTCATCGGGAATCTGAGGTTTTTCAGGTTCCTTTTCAGTAAATCTTAACAACAGGGAATTACCAAGTCTTGAGCCGAGGAACAAATAATTATCCTCACACATACAGACCTGAAAATCCCAAAAATAATATCATTGGATTCGGAAGATCACTAAAAAATATTTTCCAGTATTAAAACTCACACAGGATGTCAATACACTTGCAGCAGCTTTATCAAAATGAAATCCCCTAACCGATCGCATACTATCAGCGAACAGTGATAAAACATATAATTCCCCACTTTTCAAAGAAATAACCAAGCGATCGTACGAAATAAAAGCTACCTGAGCACCTTCTAAGCTCATTTTTACACCATCTTGTGGTTCTGTAATCAGCAAACACAAATGATACGATTCTGAAATATTTTTGTTACAAACATAATATTATAAAGATTACTTACTCAATGGAAAATTTGTACTTGTGTCTGCCAAACTATTGAGTGATACTCCATATGGCGGTATACTCTGGTTAAGGTAAATCAATGAGTTCACAGCCATTATTAATGTTCCTCCAAGAGGCTTCTTGACAGGCACTGCTTGGTAGCAATCAAAAGGTAAATTCGAAACAGACCAAATTATTGGATGGACTTTTTGCTGTATATTTAAAGATATTGCTACCATTGCACAGGTATCCTGCCTCACTGCAATACGGCTAAAATTATAAATTAAATTATAAAATATTATGTGCAAATATTAAAATGGCATAAAGATAGAATACCATAAATAATTATTGTTTTAATCGTTATGAAACAATTTAATGAACCTACCCTGAAAATGTTCTAACGGGTTCGTAAAGAATTAATAAAGTGGGTTCATAATATCCATGGAGAAACTCTAAATCTATTATGTTGTCCATTTTTTCCTCCAAATTTTTCAGCACTATCATATATGAGGAAAGTATAGGTGTCTTATTGGATGAACCTATTTTAGAGTTTTCAAGTAGATCTCCATCATCCAATGTAGGGTCTTTACGAAATGGAAGAACTACCAATTTTCTCCCATATATCAACATAACAGCACAACGACCCTCAGGATCTACTCTAACAATGGGAATATGATGATGATTTGTCCAACCATCCTGCAAATACAACATGTAAATAGTGATAGAAATAGCGTTGTTTTCTTTGCTTTAAATAGTATAGTAGATGTTTTACCCTCATTTCCTCTTCTTCAAAGTAATGTAGTGATACAGTGCGTAAATCATGTGTTTCTGGGTCATATTCCACCACAGACAATTTAGCGTCTCGGAAACTCAATAATAATGAATCCCTAGGAGAGCCAATAAGATGTACAGGTTGCATAGACATTATATTTCCATGCAATGTGTATTGAGCAAGACACTCCAATTTCATCTTCGGAGGCCGTAATTCTGATGAAGAGTGAAAATGGGGTTAGATGCATATATAAATAAATTAAAATGCAATAGTAGAAAAATTATACCTGTATATTTTTCTCTTTTGGTAGTATCGACATCCGGTATTAAACGGAAAACGCGAATTATATTTGCACCGGCAACGACTAAACATTTTTCTATACGATTAAAGAAGTAACAGGTTATAGCATGTTCCACGCCAGTAGCAGGATGAGTACTTTTGCAAACAGAATACATTTTGTTATTTATATATGGTTCTAATGAAAATAAATGTTCGTCTTTGCATTGCAGAACTCCGTATTTTCCATTATTCCATATATCACTAGAAATATTTTTAATTCAACTTGTTCACGGTCTTATTCAAAACGACACGGACAATACTATGCAATACAATGTGCGCTGCCATTTTTGACATGCGCATTGCAGACAGCCGTAGGTAACTATTTAGTGCTCCTATTGGGCAACAAAAGTATAGAACTTACGGCGTGTTCCGATATACCCTGTGAGCACTGCAATATGTAACGTCATTGAAGTATACTGTTGAAGCATTCCATTTTCGTTAGCGCCAGTGTTTATAACTGGTTGGGAATAATATCGGAACGTTTTTCAGTAACTGGTGAATTGCACAAATAAAACAAAGAGAGGCAATACTAAAAATACGATTATTTGCACCAAAAAAAAAGAGAAAAAAATAAGATGATCAAAAAACTATCATTTACCATTTTGTGCACATAATGATTGTTCTGGTGTTACACATATTTCGTACAAAACGTTTGTTTCGCCGTCAATTAATGTTACCTTCACCATTTTTCCCGCCTATTATTGTAAGGAGTGGGGGACCACTGGGAGTACCTTATCTATGGGAGCTCAGGCGCTTACAGTGAAAAAATGGGAGAAACTTATGACGTCATTAAAGTTACTAGGCACTGCCGCAGTGCACTGTACTCCAATATCGGAATGAAATCTGCAGTACTGGCAGCAGAGATGAGTAGGGAGATTGCCAATGAGCCTGTTTTTGGTGGTCTCAATTTTTCACTGGTGTCGGCGCGCCACCTTAACGGAGGGCCCTCGAAGCAGTTCCACGTTTTTGATTGGTCGTGTATATATAGTAATACCAGAAATGAA